GCCACTTGCAGAGAGATCAGCGTCCCTGGTTACCAGCTAACCAGGGACACTGATCTCCAGACAGCCTAACTCTCCCTGGCGCTCCGGGAGTCTCCCGCTCCCGGCCGCCAAGGAGAGAAACACTGCTTTTTCTTTTTTTTTTATTATTCTGACACGGCTCCGTGTCAGAATAGAAAAAAAAAATTTGGCCATAGGAATGCATTGCTAGGTTCCTATTGGCTATTTCAATTTGCAATAGCCAATAGCACCCGCCCTCTGCTGCAGTTCTCCATCAGGTCCACCACTACTGATTGACAGCAGTAGAGGGCGGGTACAATGCTAGTTTGCTATTGCAAATTGAAATAGCCAATAGGAATCTAGCAATGCATTCCTATGTCCAAAAATGTATTATTTGTTTTCTATTCTGACACGGCTCCGTGTCAGAATAAGAAAAAAAAAGAAAAAGCAGTGTTTCTCTCCTTGGCGGCTGGGAGCGGGAGACTCCGGGAGCGCCCAGGAGAGTTAGGCTTTTTTTTTGCTTTTTTTTGACTGCAGCAGAACCGCCGGCCAATAGATAACTGGTGGGCGGAGCTAGCTGTCATTGCTAGCTCCGCACAATCGTTTTCTATTTTTATTTTTCTACTTTTTTAACTGTTTTTCTGTTCTGCTCGGTCCCACAGAGAGACCGAGCAGAACAGCCAAGCCGAATGTCGCTCGGTGGCATTCAGCTTTTCACTCACTGGTGTTCGGCATCTATGAGAATAGACCGAACAGCAGCGAGTAGCCTGCCGGAGGTTCGGCTCAGTCGAACTCCTTCGAACTCCTTCTCCACTTCGGGTCGGCCGAACATGCTGAAGCCACATGAAGCCACACGATGTACGGCTGATTTCAGCCGATATACGGCTGAAATCAGCCGTACCAGCCTGAAGTGAATAGCCAAACAGTGGTCGGTCATTCACTCGGCTGCCTACGGCAGCTTAGTGAATAGGCCCCTAAGCCTGCATTCTCACCTAAACTGAGTGTATGTCAGCCGATTTAGAAGTGTTTTTTTTTGTGTGTGTGTGCTTTTGCATGCATGGTTTTCAGGTGATTTCAGGCATAAGCGTTTTTGTTTAAGCCAATGGAAAGCTAGACACTAGAAGGAGGAGGCATTTGTTAGGCACAAAATGGCATAAAAAATGC